AAAATACGAGAAGGGTCCATTCTGCCTGTCCACTGCCTTTGAGTTCTTGTGGTAAAGTTGGTGCTTCTTTAAGGTTTATAAGCAATTTTTACGTGGCAGTGTAACATCCGATTTTAGGGTAAACCTCTGCAAGACCACTCGAATTCTCTGAAGCATTCTAGTCATGGTCAGAAAGCAAAGACCGATGTGGTAACACCGCGACAGAAAGATCCTCGAAGGAAGGGAGGTGGCTCAATTCAGGTTTGCTTTTTGAGATCCTGATATCGCTTAGTAGTTGACAAATTAAATGTAGTTGTCGCTTTTTCTCGTGCTGCTTCTGGCATTTCCAGCAACCAGTGATTAAGAGCAGAATTCTCCCAGTTCACGCATGTTTCATTTTTGCAAGTTTGCAATGCGCGTCCAGTGTTCATTGATCTCGGTAGTAAGGATTACAACACGCGTTCGCCATCGATGACCAGTTTCCTTTCGCTGTCTATGGCACATTGAAATTGAACTAACTTGCTTTGTGACACTACAAGTGTTTTGTGTTGATACTCCTCACATTTGAAATTTATAAAATTCCTTTTTTAGTATGTCCCGCCATCAATCACACGTACAGATGAAGGCATGAGTAGCGTAGCGTCGCGAGTAAATCGAAATCAGGGAGTTGTAGGAGATGTAGAACCGTCGACGTCGAGCGCTCGAAAGGCTCGTGACAATACATATAATGTGGGTCTTTCTGTTAGCATGCTGGTTTTGTGACCATATATCACATTTTTTGTTTCTAATTCCAAACCTTCTGTGTTCGATTATGCTATTCGACAGCTCAATGTTTCAGCAAACAAATCCCGTAGGTGATACTTATTCTTTATGGTCCGTTAGTCCAACAAAATCAGCACAAACCGCTCCGCGCATTCCACATGAAGTCCTTCAAGATTTGACTTTTCGATTCCTTGCAAATATTCCAGATGAAGAGGTGAGAAAGATCTGGTCATATCAGAACTCATGTCTCTCATATGGATCTTCTAGAAATCCGACAGAGTACGCATGTGCTTCCAAGTCGAATTGGCTCATTGGTTCTATATCGATTTTTATTGCAAACAAGAGGCGCGGAAGGATTGCGCACAGATGGGGATGAGGGAATTTGCCAGGTACCATCCTTCAGAACTCATGTGCTGACATCTTTGAAATACACTTCTCCAGACAAATCTTCAAGCATTGTGAGGAGCTTGCACCCTACGCCGCACACGTTGATCAGGTAGAGTAAACAGTTCTTTGATTTTATGTCATACTTTATCTTTTTGAGATTCTATCAAATCATGGAAGAGAACAGTGTGAACATCATCAAAAAATTATCAACGACCACTTGCTATTGAAAGGGTGATTGAATCTTTGGCGACGCCCTTGCGTCCAAGATTTTTGAGGGCATCATCAACTACAACAGCATTCGCTCCTGCGCTCAAAGAGATAATCGTTTGCAGGAAAAAGAGCCCTATCTATAATAATACTAGGCGGTCCGTAGTTCGATCGTTCACAGTATCGATCTACCCCATCTTTTACCTTTATTGATCTCGTTACAAAAAGAATCTACGAAAAATTTTGTTGTTGCATTGATTTTTTATTAGTTGTTTTAGGTGATAGACGAATGGCGATGGTACAAGTCAACGGTTCCCACCTACGGTGCAATTCTTTTGGATGAGACGTTGAATCATGTCTTACTTGTACAAGGATTTTACGCCAGCAAAAACAGTTGGGGATTTCCCAAGGGAAAGGTGCTGTTGTTTATTCTAAGTCAGATGATTTCTT